ATTAACATGTTCAAACTTTATTTATGTTCATATTTATTTTATAGAATTTCAAATTTAAAATAAATGCTGCTGCAGGTATATTTTGAAGTTATGTGACCCACTTAAATGGGTTTTTAATTTTAATGACTTAGAAATAAGCCGAAATTTCTTTGATCGATTTGATCGGTCAAAAATAACATTGGGCGATGTTTTATTACTTAGTCGACTAAACCTGCTAAGCAGATTTTTATTACATAGACTTGGTCTATGGTTTAGGTCTCAACTACTAACACTAACAGAACCTTAGTGCTGGTAACACCCGAATATGAATCTTTTTAAATCAATTTTTTGAATCTTTAAACAAAAATAACAAGAACTTACCTAACTAGAGATTACATATACTCATTGAGAAAAACCTGTCCGGATCTTCAGTTTCATCATACAAATCATCTGGTCTTCAGTAATTACATTGCTGTCCCAGAAGAGTGAGGTGTTTTTTAGAACGGAAATTTCAGGATATTGTATCGCAATATTGAGTACCTTGACAAGTCAAGTAAGTTGAATTGGAATTAGACTTGTACATTCAAATTGGAATCTGTAAGTCCAATGTTCCAGTTTATAAATCCGGTGAAACAAATTGCTTAAAACTGATTATACCCTTAATTTACTATTGTTATATAATTATATAATTACAATTCCTATACAATTCTTATTTCGGGGAAACGTTAGGGTGATCATCAAACTAATAAAATCAAACCATAAGTAGCGTAATATGTATTATTTACTATATATTTGGAATTTTTTATGAAAATCCGGATAATAGTAACTTTCGGTACAGTTTTCTCTTGAACTAACATAATAATCGCTAGCCAAATTTTTGGTAAAAGACATATTAACCAATTTAGAATAATGTAATAGAGGCATTTTTTCGATTTATTCCATATACAAGTAGTTAGTTCTTCAACAAAATGAACAAACTTTACCCAAAATTAACAACAATGAATCGAGTAAAATTTGTAAAACCGAGGCTATTATCAGAGAGAAATAAAAGCTACAAGTTAAAAAAAAATAAGATATAAAAATTTTATGACCTTAGCTAGAAAAGTGTACCTTTGTAAAATGTATTAAAAAAATTTGTTCGATAACGATAAATAATGACAATGAAATTTTCGTAATTGTTAAAAAAAATCCTTGCATAATAAATTTTATATGTAGTCGAAACTATAATTTGATTAATTAGTTTGATGATCACCCTAGGGAAACGTGTAAATTTGTAGTTTGTCCGAGAATTTGAGAATAGCTATAATTTACCAAATGATTTGGGTAATTTATTATACATTTTGAGTACAATTTTTACGTGGGTACAATCTCTAAATCGAAATTTTCTACAAGTTTCATAGAAAATTTATTAAATTTGATTAAGTTGTTGAGTTATTTTTGTTCAAAGTTTTGCAAAAAATTTTACTTAGAATTTGGTATGTTCCACTGACTTACCCATATCTCGAATCAGCTCGGCATACGTATGAAAGAAAAAAAAAAAAACGAAAATAAGACCTTGGGACCAGGGCTTAACCCGCTATATTAATTTGCCGGCCATTTACTGCGCCACTGCTATTGTTTGAAGTGTTTTTTTGATTCATCGAAGTTAGTATACCTAATATATTGCGCATTACTATTTAGCCAATTAAATTCTAATATATTATAGGTCAAGAATGGCACTTTTGAATGGCCGGTAAATTAATATAGTGGGTTAAGCCCTGCTTGGGACGCTAATTGAGAGACAATTTGTTCTTTTATCTTCTAACTTAAATGTCCTAACCAAAATTTATATCTTCATTATTTTTATAATAATTTCCTTTTTACATCCGGAGTTATTGTACGTATGAGATAAGAATTTATTTGTCATTGGGTTGATATTACCACACATAAAGATCAGAAATTATGTTTGAATAAAAGAATACCGTATGTTACCGATTAGAAGCAACCACCGAATAAAAGTAACCCCAGATTTTGGACAAAAAATTGGAATCAAACATAAGCAACCCTTCACTTTGGCTCGAAAAAAAATCTCCTTTTTTTTTTGCAACATTTTGGTTGCTTCCATTCGGCAACATGCGGTATAGAATTTTACTAGTAGTACATATGTTTATTATTGTTCATGAAAATTCGGCTATTCACGTGAAAAAGATGAATCCACGAAACATGTTTCAAAAAAAACAAAAATCATTTTTTAATTCAATTAATGACGATAACAAATACATTATTGTTCAACAAATTCAATGAATTTGCGTTCATTCAATCTTGTCCCCCTTGTCGTTGGTGTGGGAGGGTCCCCTGAATACCCTCTTGAAAGAAAATAATTTGTCAAGTGATTCATTATTTTATCTCCCTACTTTGCTACATGTTTCAGGCTGAAAATTGTCGCAGTATATTAGAAAGTCTAACTAATGAATGGTACGTGCCTGAAGGAGTGTTTGGCTATGTCCAAGAATAACCACCTTTTTTATGTTCTCCGCGAAATTTACATTCTATAAACAATTCCTTTGATGCATAATTTATTTCAATATAATATGTAGGATTGGCTAAACATTTAAAAGTCTCGCTTTTTTTCCATTTCGAAAAATATGTTTAGAGAATTTACATTATTTTGAAAAAAAAAAAAATGCGTTCACTGATTAAACATTTATACATACATTTGTTACTTATTATTACTTTCTCTTCATTCTCAATTTCTGAAAACGATCCAAACCTAATTAATTCCTCTATCTTACGACGAAGTACGTATTCTGGTGATGGTACATTTTACGCTGTGGGTCTAGGTGCTTGTGGATATGTCAATAACGACGGACAAATGGTAGCTGCTTTGCCAGCAGAACAATTTGACCATTTAACTAAAAAAAGAGCCTGTGGTTCTACTGCTGTAGTTCATCGTGGTAGTAGGAGAATTGTTGTAAGGATTGTAGATAGATGTGCTGGTTGTAAAGTTGGTGACATTGATTTATCACCTGATGCCTTTAGTGGGCTTGCTGAACCCGTAGAAGGACGTGTTCATGTCACTTATTCTCTTAAAACGAGGAGGTAATCGGATGAATATTGTTATCTGCTATAGCTTTTAAGTCTTTCTGTAAGTGAACAATAATTTTATTTGGATTAAAATAGTCCCACTTTTTATATCAATAAGCTCCTCAACTAATTGTACGTACGTACGTACGTTTTTTTATGTGTTAAGTGTTCAAATTGTTATTTACATAGCATATCATGTATAGTTTTATCAATACAAGAAAAAAAATATATATTTTAATGCTTTTATGTATATACGTAATAATAATTATTATTAATAATACTAATCCCGCTTGATATAAAAAAAAGGTTTGTGTGCAAATTTGGACTCGAAATTTTTTTCGACCATTTTTGTTCATGACTCTAAATTTTTTGTTAAGCCATATTCCTCTATTTTCTAAACTAAAATGAAAGTGTGCCGTATTACATGATTTTTTAACATTCAAAAAATTAGTTAAAAATGTCCCTAATCTTCGTGTAACATATTCCCACTATGAGATCTGCGACATTTTACGTACCGGTACAGTATAAGAGAAAGATGAAATGCAATTTTTGTCTTAATAGTAATGTTTGTGTTATAATGTTTATGACTTATCGAGTCTTTCTTTACCTAATAATAATAAGCTTAAAGTCATTAACGAATTAAAAACCAAAAAGATCTTCCACTTAAGTAAAGTACTATAATACATAACAATAGCTGCTAAGCCACCAATTTCGTTGCGATAATTAATGTTGAATTCTTTATATAAAGATAATGAAAAAAAACGTGTATGCTAATAATAATATTGATCTTTTCTAACAAAATTACCCTTCGGGACTAGTACCGAAGGGTAATTGTGTTAGAAAAGATCCCATCTAAAGGGGTGTAGAAGTTTCGTACTGTATTTTGTTATTGAATGTACTGTACTGTATATAAATATAGGTGTACTATAATGTACACCCCTTTATTATATAAAATGTAAATATTGTACTGTATTGAAAAAATAACAGTACAGTACGATATATTAAGCCTTTTAATATGGGTGACGCCAAGTGAAAACCAGACATTCTAAAAATAGATTTACATGGACAACGGAATGCGGAATTTTAATTG